CTTTAGCAATACTCACACTTCAGAAAGGTATGAAGCTTTATACAAATCAGACTGTTACAAAAAAGTGTGTTCATGCGGTCGCAATTGTGCCAGAGTTACCTCATTTTGATTAAGGGTCATTAGAGGCCGTTGAGTTGGAGCTCAGAAGTGGCTGCACGCATACAAGAAGGTGGGTACCAAATAGAATAGCCTCAAGCTAATAAACCTTCAGATTGGCCATCAGATTAGTAAATTCATTTTACTTTTCTCAGTTTCGCCATTACTTCCGCACGCCTTAAGGGCATCATTCAACCTATTTTTCAGCTCTCCTGTCGATCTTACATTTTAAGGCTTACATATATTGAGGCTAACATCTTTTCTAAATAATTTAAATTATCCACAAAAAACACTGGTCCACTTTTATTGGCTATCCTAACAAGCAGATTGTTGCAACATACATATCTAGAAACCCTAGTCAGAATACAATACTTATTTGGTGTTACTATCTGTTGAAAATTAGGAATCTACTCCGACTCAATACTTTCCTCAACTTGCTCAGACAACCGTGATAATAAGCTAATTAGTGCAGCAATTAGCTACAGAGGATGGTTCCTCTCAGAAATTAATTATCTTATCCTTGTCACCTTTGTTAAAATGATGCTTTTTTTTGATACAAGAGCCCTCAATCGGATTCGAATTCTCAAGTTCGTTAGCTTCTTATCATGAATCCTCTTAGTTGACGCCTCAAGGATGCATAATCAAATTTGCGATTAATGCTTGGTGGGTCAATGAACAACAAATTTGCTCATTTAGCGCTGGCAAAGCTCCAACTTTTTTCCTGTTTTTTTTCTTCCAGCTGGCTTCACGATGTCTCTCGAGAAGAGGCTAATCAAGACCCAGCTAAAGCGCTATGAAGATGCCGGACGGACAGGTCGTCCTGTATTGAAAATCTCGGACAAGATTATTGTCAAAGTTCAACTATCCTTAATCCAAATTCTCGATCTTGACGAACGTAATCAGATATTGACGACAAATATCTGGATGCAGATGGTGAGCATAGCTTAGCCAATTTTTGGTAGCACACAATTCCTTGGCAAGCCTGAAAATGTGTATAGTTTTGGCATTGGAGTAGTTACGTGAGTTCTATATGATTCCTGCAGAAGAAAAGTGTGAAAATGATGTGGATAAATTTGATACCCTAAGATTTGGTTCAAGATTGGTGGAAAGGAGAAATTACTTATAGATACAAAGAGTAACTGGGTTTCGATGAATCTCCCGAAATAACATTGTTAGGGAGACTTTCATTTCGTATGAAAGTGCATGAAGAAGAGATTCGAAAGTCGATCTCACCAGAAGACAACGACCGATTGCAGCCGTTTGGCTTTAATACGACGTTCAGGTTGACGCAGTCTACGAGACAGCATCCATCGTTTCTGATTAAAATAGGCTGAGATTTCATCAATTATTCGAAGGATATCGTCAGAACTGGCATCCATTATTGAAAAGTATAACGCTTAAGTGTCTTGATCGAGTGCTAATGTGGGACTTTTACAAAAAATAGGCTCCATTTCTGTTGATGTCCATTGAATGCTGGACGAAAGCTAGGCCCATTTTCACACGAAGCGAGGAAGGATGTCTCATGGACTGCGTCAACATGAACGTCGTGGTAAAGCCAAACGGCTGCAGTACAACGAGATTCAGTCGTCCTCTTCTTGGGAGAGTGACCTTCGAATCCCTTCTTCATGCACTTTCTTACGAAATGAAAGTCTCTCCAACAGAAGCTGTATTCTGTCAATAGCTTCTATTGAGAAAAGATGCTAGACTCTATAAACATCTTAAATAGGATGTATAATAGTCCATTTCACAACCCATGATCAGCATTCAATACGCATGCAGATACCCACATACATAGAAACATATATACGTATCATACATACATGCCATGCATATCATACCATAACCCAAACTTGTTTGCGGACAAGCATAATGGGCACAACTATCAACAAATCAGGTACCATCTCTCACAAAGGCTGTAGGTTGGAGGGTCTATTGCGTCTGGAAGGTTTTGTTCACTTTAAATCAGGTTTGCAATGCTGATCAGACGGGGCTAAAAATGCAGTCTAAGCGGGTTGAGATCTCATTTTATGGATGCTCTCAAGAAGCAAATTAATTGGCAAGACCAGATATTTTAACATTTTCTCGGTGGGAGCTCAACTCTTTGTTACCCCAAACAACTACACTCATTCTAATATACAAAGTTTAATAAGTTTAAGATTGGATTTAAACTCATGACACTAATTTGTAGAAACCCAGCAAAGCTTGTCCACAAAACGTGTTATCATTCGGACTTCTGGTGAGGCTTTAAGGATTACCTGCTGCATTGGGTAGCTGCAGAATACTAGGGGATTGACGGGATAATAAAACAAAGATTAATCACAAACTGTCTACTTTATATTGAATCAGTCAGTTTCCTTCGATAGACTGATCTTATTCGCGCCTAGTGAGTTGATAAAAAACTTAAAAGAATTAATTTCTGAATGCGGTTTCTAAGATGTAAAGAGTCGGAAAAGGAGACATAAAGTCAACATTCTAGAATGGTTGAGCTAGAGATTGAAAATGAGGTACTGCAGTTAGTTGACCAATCATATTCTTTACTGCCACTTAAAGTATCAATCTTAAAAAGTGCTCAACCTAACTCCAGGAAGTCTGATTTAATGTTGAAAATGCAACAGAAAAACTAAACTTCTGATGCAAGACATAATAAAACTTTCACATAGGCACAATTTCCGAATAGATGACATTCCAAAATTAGAACTTACTCATCCTAGATCGCCTGATGTGATTCTAAAAAAGTGTTTGCTATAGATGATAGTTTTAGTATAAATTAGTACCTTAACTTTTCAACATTATTTCTCTTAGAATATGCTTCGTTGTATAGAGGTTGGTTGAACTTCTTTTTGCAACTTTGTCATATTGGTAGGAAGACTTAGTGGAACGCACCTAGTCCGGAGTCCATTATATGCATAATCATTTCCACATTTAAATAAGCAAGTAAAAAGTTGTGATAGGGAATGGTGACTAGCCCAAGGCGGAAGGAGAGATACCAAGATGGTTTAGCAGACAATTGGTCAAAGGATCGGCTTCACTTGTCTCTTTGATGAGTTGTAGTATGGTGCTAAGAATGGCAAGACTCACTGACGATGCCGGCGAAAAGTCTGTGAATGTACCACATGCACGGTCAGACTCTGGAAACTATTATGCATACAATAGACTCCGGAGAAGGTGCGTTCCTCCAAGTCTTCCTGTCAATAGGTCTAAGTTGTGAAACCAAGATCAAACAACTTCCACACAAAGAAAGGAGACTGTGACCACACAAAAGGTCACACCATCTTCGATTCTTTTTCATGCCCAAAACATAAAGTAAACTGCGAATATATGATTTCGAAACCCAGATGTAAGGACTTCAAGCTAGCCATTCTATAATGGAAAAAAATTTCTGCTTAGTTTGCATTAACTTTACATATTATATATATATATATAATTATCATTGAAGATAAATATCATCAGCATTTATTTCTTAACTTTTTGTTAAATGTAAATAATCTAGTTAGTGCATACCCTTTCGGAATAAATGGGTTTTTATCTCATCAATTTAGATGGCCATTCGGTATGAATGTTACGACTTTATGAACTTATTACTGAGTATAGTCTCCTGTGGCACACCGTAATTAAATAAATTGTTAATTAACCAATAGGGTATTATTAATTTCAGCAATGGACCGACCATATTCTGGGATGGAATAGAAGCAAATATCCAGGAATCTCTAGGATTCGTGTTCCCCCTGACTCCATATGGACACCTGATATAGTCCTCTACAACTAGTAAGTCAAGATAAAGAAGTAAACGCCAGTTATCTCTTGAAATAACACCCCTCTCTTTATATAAATTTGTTAAGACCTCACTTTTTTATTTGTTTTTATGTTTTCTTTATTATTATTTAATATAATACTTCGC